AAATAATAAAAAATTTAAAATTTCGTTTAATATGTTCTGTTGGGAAAATCGTGAACAATTTATGCGTCTATTTTAAGTTGCTTTGAGGTAGATTTATCTGCTTATTTGTTCCTTTCTCTTTCTTTTGATATTATTGTGACACTTTTTTTCTGTGATCTTAAGTTAAATCTATTACTTACAAAAATATGAAATTTTCTTTCATTTTGTGTATATTGTGTATCATGTTTTGTTTGTATAGTTGAGTGATTTTATACAAAAATATATATTGCACGATATTTATCAATTAATTACTGTTTTGGTCTGTTTTTGCGCATACAAGTTTTTAAACTTAGGCGCTCATATAGAGAAACGTTGTTTTTGTTTCGTTAATTTATAGATATATATTATTTTTATATTGGTAAATTTTGGTTCTGCTGAATAAATGTGGTAGAGTTCAGGGCGTACTGTTCTCTCCAACAACAACAACAACAAAAAAGTCATATATTGTACAACTTTTTTATTTGTATTGATAAGTGAGAATGAGAAAGGAATAAACGTAAAGTACTAACTCTTAAACTAAAAATTAAGATAAAATCTAATAGAAAAATTAGTAATCTATTTTACTCGTATAATTTCACTTTGTCATCTTTATTTGAGGAAGTATTAAATATTTTAAATAAAAAAATGTTGCTTACTTTGTATTAAGCCAAAACAAACATAAAAATATCAATAATTTTATCATTTCCACTTTATTAGTATCATTCTTTTGGCTTCTCTACCACTCAATTGTCGTCACTTTTGAAGTCACGCTGCTCCAAAATAATTCTTTTGAAACTGAGCACTGCTTGAAATTTTAGGATTATTGGCAATATATCATATCAAAATGATGTCACTAAATATTGTGAAAAAGGGTACATTAAGCCGTTGTGATAGCGAGGTGTTTTTGACAACAATTGTTTAAACTAAAGAAAAATTTAATTCATAAAAACAGTTGGTTTAAATCGTGGTTCAAACCAGGTTAGCTGAAACTTGCCAACCCTGATATAAACATGCTAGGATCAAACATTTTTCATATACCCTCCTCTTGCTAAAAGATAATTTATAATATGACATTGGAAATTGTGTAAAAGCGCTAAAAATTGAATTCGTACTTTTGAAGTATTACAAACACTGATTGATACATTCATGATGTGAACATACACTCAGAAATTGCTCTTAATTAAATTCCTTTTCCAGTAGTTTATTGGAAATATGTGTGTTTATTTATATCTAATGTGTATGTATTTTGAGTATATACCTAGAGGTTTCATCGATTGAAAATGTATGAAATCTATAATCTTCAGTTGAAATAATTTGTCTATGTTTGATCCACTGGTGGAGCAGATTCCAACACGACTGTTTTCTTCCAGGGTATTGTAGTGAGCCTAGATGCAGGCACAGTGATAAAAGAAGAAGGGGACGAGAACAAAATCCTGAGTGGCAGCATGCAAAAAGTATGGAGACGAAGCATAGCACTCGCAAACAAAGCAGCTTCTTCGGTCGACTACGTGCATTCTGTCTACCTTAGCGATGCATATCTACAGGTTTTCATAATGTGCTTCAAAGATTATAAGAGATACTTCGTCAACGGTACTTTCCAAGTGAGTAATGCAGTATTAAATACAAAATATCGAAACTGTCGAAATTTCAGACCAATGAGTTTTTTCACGGGGCCTATAACCTCAAAAACGCGTTTTCATTTCTTGCACGCGGTTTTAGATAAACAACATAGGACTACAATCGTTTATAGATTTTTTGAGTCGTGAAAGAGTACCGAAAAATATTTTTTTTGTCCCAGTGTCTGATATGTACTTTTAATTTCATCGGAAAGTGCGTTTATTTTACGCCTTCTTCGATGCTAAAGGAATGTGAAAAAAATACATTTGTAAAGTTTGATAATCGTAGATTAGGTATTGAAAGGAAAAGTTCCGTTAAAAATGTTGACCAATAAATACATAAAGATATAAAAAACACAGAACAAAAGCAAAGAAAAATAATGACAATAAACCATACGATAACTTTTCTTAGTCAATACTGATAACTGAAGTTTTCATTCAATGCCTAATTCACGATCATCAAATTTTGCAAATGTATTTTTTCAATTTTTTTAGCCCTGAAGGCGAAAAGTAAATGCCGAAACTTTGTCAACTTGATATATATATATCCCAAGAATTCAAAGAAATTAAAACTATTATTTTCTCTACTAACCCGAGAAATTATTATTGCCTTATTGAGAAGTAGCATTTTTTTGATGATGAGAAGAAAAACACCTAGGTAAATGATGTCATTTGAAGTGATATTCTCTCAGTTTTATTGTCAGTTTGACAACTGAACTTTATATTTTAAAATAAATACCCCAATTATCGACATAATGTTTGAAAACAGAGGAATCATCTCAAATTCCGACGGCTGTTGATATTGATTGGTCAATTTTGGAAAACACTGTTATAACCTGAGTCGGGTAGCCTACTTAAACTAAACTGTAATGTACTATTATATGTTCCTCCATATGTAAAATCATTGATTAAAGTATTCTACCTGAAGATATCCAACCTACAACTATATTCGCGAGTCGAAAAATTATCCGAAATGAACCGAGATAAGGTAGCGTCATCTATGAGAATTTGTCACAGCTATGTTCTCCTCACCGCAATAACTAGAAGTCTTCTTTGAAAATGTTAGTGGCTCGTAGGAAGCGCTGCTGCTATATGCTCATATATAGATGGCTACAGCGCCATCTACGAGACAAAGTAAATTCCTCATTATTGCAGAGAGGAGATAACTGTGATAATTTCTCATAGATGATGCTACATCTACAGTATATGTCATTCTACCTCGGATAATTTTTGGGTCGCGCGAATATAGTATTATATCTTATATCTTCATCAATTGTTTGTTTTTGCGATACAAACAATAGATTTTGGCATATGAAAGAAACGCATTTCGATAATTCATTCAAACTTCGTATCTTCCTTTCAGAAGGAAGACTTCATCAAAAATGCCAAAACGAAAGGAATCAGGCGGTTCTTGAACATGTTCACCGAAACGTACATGTTCCTGGCATTCTTAGATACAGTTGTGCAAAATCCAGAGAATCTAATTGATTTTGATAAGAAGATCGAAATGTATGGATCTGAGGAGTCCAGTGTCATATTGGACAAATTACTCGAGTGGGGAGGCAAAAGTAAGGCCTGATCTGAATAGGATGTAAATATTTAAAGATATAAGGAAAAATCCTATTTTTGTAAAGTATTTTTTATCTTTTTTATAAATATGAGTTATGAATAAATGTGTTTTAATATTATCAGTTTTTCAATTCTACCGTTTTAGAGTTAAATCAATGCTGACTGAAATAATATTTATTTACATGAACCTATAAAAAATAAATAGAAAATCCTCCAGAACCCACTGCCCGTGTATGAGTAGTACAATTATTTAAAACATTGTATGAACACATGAGAGATATTTCTCCGACTTTCCTTGGAGACATAAGTTTTCATCCTTATAAAATCCAATCAGTCCATGTTTTAAAGGAAAGTGGTTATGTATTATGGAAATCTTGTGCTGAACGAATGTTGAGTCTTTCCTACGCAGCGCAGACTCGAGAACGTTGATTTCAGTGACGAGGCCCATTTTCACTTATTCGTGCAGATATTGGGAACCAACGAACCCAAAAGACAAACATCAACAACAGCTACATAAACCGAAGGTGACTGTTTGGGACGCCATATCCTCTAGCGGTATTATTGGGCCGTATTTCTTTGAAGATGAAAACGGCCATGCATTGACAGTCAACTCCAAGACACGACCTCACGCCATGCGATTATTTCTTGTGGGGTTATCTAGTCAAAAGTGTATTCCAATAATCCACGAACACAGGAGGAACTTAACGACAACATTCTACAAGAAATAAACAACATCACTCCGGAACTCTGCAAGAGAGTGTTTCAGAATTTGCGTGCGCGATTAGAAGTGTGTCGGAAAGGATGGCAAACATTTGGACGGAATGGTATTTAAGAAATAAAACCCGCCGAATTTACGAATATGTAGTAACAAATAATATATTTTTTTTCATCAAGTTGGTATTTGTCTTAAATCAAAAAGGGAACTTTCCCACTGGACCTTGTATTTGGTTGCTGACTTGCATACCTCGACTGTGTGTTCGGCAATGGCCAAGGTTATCCACTCTCCGGATGAAATTGTTTGCCCTCCATACAGTAAAAATGCCTAAAGATGGATGGAAATTCTTAGGTGACTTATTTATTTAATCTCAAAATTTTTCAAAGGGGTTGGTAATTCGCATGTTTTGAGTTTGAGAATTGGGATGCGTTGGAGCTGATTGATATTGACCTTCGGTTTTAATATGTTGACGGTGATATAGTATTTGTTAGAGATCTATGTTCACAAAATCCAACACAGACCCAGAAGCACTCGTAGATGGTAGTCTCAAACATTTAAAAGCTTATCTTATCAGATAAAAAGATCGAAGTTTGCATAAGATGGCAGCATGCCATAGTTGATCGAACTCTTTCATGATCGAGCAACGACATGAGTCTCACCATAAGACTGGCTGAGTTTACTCCACAGTTGCGCGACGTAAGCTAGGTGTCCCATGGATCGCTGGTGCCGAAAACCACACACAGAAGCTCTAGGTTTATGCATCTCCATCACCTTACTTAGAAAGCAGAGCTATAGGCCTGTAGTTGCAAAGGTCGGTTTTAGATCTTTGTTTTGCTCTTCACTAGCTGAGCCAGTCCTTGGGTAATAGCTAATGCTTCAACAGTAGGACCTGCTACATCAGTCTTGTTTGAGTCCAACCAGAGCTTATTATGCGCATTGAAATCACAGAACTACCTCTGAAGCAGTGTGATTGATGTGCAAGAAGTCGATCTTGACAGCGAGATTACTGATAAAATTATGTCTTTTTTTTCCTAGTGTTTATTTGCTATCAACTTTCCTCTTACAATTTTGAATTAGGACGCTTCAAAAATACTAAAAAAATTAAGATTTTACGTTTTTTTCAGAATATGCTTATATTTTCAAGCTCTTTAAAGGGCAAACAACGATTTCACATTACAAGTTGAAAATATGAAACTGTGCATTCTTCTGCATACATGATTGTTGTCCACTGTAACTTAATACATAGAAAGATTTTTGTCGGATCGAAAGTGTTCTTAGCTGGGAAGATACGGAATGAAGTCGGTGCACAGAAGTACTGCTCTTAACTTAGTCAAACTTGGACAGCAAAAACTTATGGTGCATACATACGGTCATCACTAAACTTTGTGCACAGCAATCAAACTAAATACCCAGTGATTATTCCAATTAGGTATTGTTTAGTAGTATAGTGTGGTCTTTATTCAATTTTTATTATAGACCTCTGTCACAGTCTACGCCACTGTAGGCGCCCATTAATTCACACAACATCCATGCCATTAGAAAAAGAGAGTTTCGACTTCATGATTATGGTGCATTTTGCTTGTGGTCATTGATTTTGATGCTCTGTCCATCTATTTTTTCGTTGGTCCATGCACGAACCCCACCTTAACTTCTCTATACTACCGGTAATCCAGCATTTTGACTTCGCCTTTGCGTTTTTTTTTGTAAAAAAAAATCTTGTACATCCAAACATTTTATTAAAATCACACTAATCACCGTCACTACCTCATCTTAATTTCGTCTCAATTCCTGGATCACACTCGGGATGATGTTTCTTCATATGTTTTTTCAAACTCTCAACATACGCGAACGATTTTCCACAGTGACAATCGTGCCTTTCACCTTTCAGTTCGCCATGTTGCACTTTTATATGTCTATTCAGCACGAACTTGTCTTTGTATACTTTGTTGCACTCGGTGCACGCAAATTCCTGTCTGTCGTCTAGATGGCGCCTTCTGATGTGTTTTCTAAGTCCGCCCATCATTGTAAACGTATGGTTGCAGTATGTGCATTCAAAACGTTTTTTGTTTTCTGTGTGGCAGAGATACATGTGGGTCCTCAAGGTCTCGCGGAATGTAAACCTAAAAGAGGATACAGTTAGAAAAAAATGGTTAAAGTAAAGGGCCAAGCTACACGCCTATGAGAAAAGTAGTTTCGGTTAACAAATATCTCAAGGTCCGAAAAGTCTACGTGCCGCAAGACATAGGCCGTCCAAGTCAGTGTAATGAGGCACAAACCCCAGAACTCCACGGGTTCCAAGATACAGGCCATCTAGGGATAATGAGGTATCGGTTCTACTCAAATATCTGCTTCAAGCGGACGAATGGTTTCGGGTAATTTCACAATTTTTTTTTAATGATGCGTGTCTCGACGTCCTGAACAAGTGCCTTAAAGGTCAGAGGCCCTCAAACTCAACTGCTCTAAAGATGTAGGCTGCCCAACTCAGTATCTATCTGCTCTATCTGGAGGAGTAAATACCTATTTGTTCAGGATGCCGAGACACATAACAGTTAAAAGATTCAGAGAAATTGACCGCACTGGTATTGCGTATCTTAAAAAGTGATATTACGTAGGTTTTTCTTCAATGTGTCAACTTAGCACTAGCTGTTGTATGTACACTTGTTGTGTATTCATTTTGTAGATGTACGCGTTGCCTAAATATTATGATGCTTCAACTAGTAATGTTTGGCTCTAATGTGATGAAAACCTCTGCTTCAGAGATGACATTATTGGAGGTCCAAGCTGTAAGTTGTACTATAGCTGAAAGTAAACGGCACTGCATAGCGAGGATTTGTGCGCTAATAATATGTGTTGATTTCTCATTCAACCTGGAAATTACATATGCAAATTGCCTGAATTTTCAAGAAAGGGAGCGATAAGATAAGAAAATCCCTGGTTGGTGAGGTATATTAAAACTAACAGGTGAGAAAATATGCTACTTTCATGAATATTTATGAAACGTAAAAAGTTATTACATTTCACATTAATTTTTATTTCAAGTCATTTAAATTTTACAGAAATTAATGTTACCATGTCAATTAGAAAATACAAGTCAGAGCATAGATGTGAAGCAGTGAGAAAATGTTTGGTGTGTGATGCGTCATTGCTAATTTTTCTGTGATGTGGCCTAATTTTACACAACGCGGGTGCGGTATTGATTTCCCGTAATGCTTCTCAAAGGTTTTGAAACCCAAAAAAAAACTGGGAAAATCCTAATGTATAACTTTGAACATAACCTGCCTTCAGAAAGGACAACATATAAAATAACCCGTCGAACACATCTAATAGATATACTATACTATACTTCATTGGCAGCATATTCAGTAATAATTTTCTCAGATAGCAAATATCACGAATTTTATACACATGCAGACCAATACACATAATCATCCAGACGTGATCTTGCTAATCAACCAACTTTCTTTCTTTCACATCTTCTCACAAATAAACTCTAGAGAGAGAGACTACTCTGCTTTCTGCAACCAACAATGCATGCTGCCGTTCAGTGTTGGGGGTTTGTGCCCTGTGCGAGATTTGTTCAGGATGCTGAGATACATATTTCACAAATTCGCATAGCTTATAAAAAATTTAATGAAATTAACTAAGACCACTCTCCCACTTAAAGCAGATATCCTAGTAGAAACGATACCCCATGATACTTAAGCAGCCTGTATCCTTGGGACCTGTTGAGTTTGAGGGAAAACATTTGTTCAGGAGGTATGAAAAAATTCAGCGAAATTAACCGAAACCATTCTTTCACATAAAGCAGATAGCCGAGTAGGACCGATACTCCATTATAGTGAATTAGACGGTATATATCTTGGAACCAGTCGACAAGACGCATAACATAAAAAATTCAACGAAATTAACTGAAGCCACTTCTATCATTGTTACATGGTCCTTTTCGAGATTCTGAATTATTAAAAAAGGAAGTATGTCAACTTATTTCAATAGACGTTATGTTCTGGATAGAGGATAGCTGCTCAGATTTCATTCATTGTCCTACCCGAGACCAAGCCTAGACCATGATGATGAGTTGCTAAATACCATGAAACACCTATCCATGGTTGACTGTCTCTGGTTGGTCAAATTAAAGCTATGCATATTCAATGTCAACTTATGTAAGAAATCGGAAACACTAGGGGGATAGAAAAGCTATAAGTTCAGAACTTGGTTAGGGGCATCGTTTGACTAAACTTTACATAGAAGATATTACTGAGCCAGTAGAGGAAGCATTCAGTTACCCGTTTTCTACCTCAAACTTGGCACTATGTATCTAACTATCCCATCTTTACCCTATAGGCACCTGGAGCCGCCTGCCAGGGCTCTGGCCCTCCAATGCCAGAAAATCAAAAAAAAGGTCTTGTGTGAACCACTAGCAAAACACTATTTTCTATAAAGCAGCATATTTTTTTCTCAAAAAGTAGAGAATGCAGAAATCTTCAAAATAATGCAGTGGCGACGCGTGACTTTTCCTAAACTGTTACCAAAACCAGATGTGGAAAATCTTATAAAAAAAAAGTTTATTTTGAACCTCCCAAATATAAATTTTTGCTTCAAATCAAGGTAAACATTCCTGGACTGAGCGTCTTGGGCACTTGATATACCTCATCGTCTTATGCTATGACTAATTCAAGCCGTCCGAAAAAACAGTCGACCTTTCTAGATGTTCGGAAAATTTTAGATCTTTTTTGGCAATGAATGTTAACAATTCCCTGTAATTTCCTCTATTGTCAGAGTCATCCCCTTCAAAATGAACGGTAATTCCTGTTTTGCTAAAAAACATACGGTATCTAGAAGTGTGCTGCCTAAAAGCTTGGTTAAGACAACTTTCGATGCTTGTTTTGCCAAACTAAATTAAATTGGCTACACATCTCACATGTAATGGAGCAATTTCATGTCTTCTCTTTAGAGCCCTAAAACTATTTAAATCGTTTACTCCGCTGCTGGTCCACCCTTTTTGTTCTGTATAAAACAGACATCGCCAACAATACAATTTGTTTTTTTGCAACCAAATAACCAAGAGTTTCCACATACCAACTTAATTTAAATTATCAAACTACGTTTTTTTATTCCTTTTTAAAATTATCTAAAATAGGTGTTGGTCTTCCATTTTCACTGATCTCCTTTTTTCTTAAAAAATATACAAGGAGAATGACTTTTCAAGTACACTCATCCATGTTTAATTGCACGCTCAGTACAACGACTATTAACGAGTGAGAAGTGAGTAACCAAATCAAAAAATGGAAACAAGTCCACATAATAGTCGCAGTGCCCCATGCACTCGGGCGACCGCGATAAGACACGAGCCGGTACCGACGGTCCCTGATGGACTACCAAGTGTATCCATAAATGAAAATGGTAACAACCGACAACCAAGTCGAGGCGAATTTGCTGTGTACTGAATTACTATTACATATTACTCTTGGTAAACAAATAAATGAACTTATTTCACAGTACTTAGTCATAAAATATTTATTTTTAAGATTTTTAACTGTTACCAATGGTTACATGGACGCTTCGTCACTGAAATAATGGGATAATAGAGAGTTAATTAGATACTATTCACCTTTTTCCACATATTTCACATACTTTCTGCTTTGGATGTGTATGTATTTTCTTGTGCTTGTGGAATGTTGTTCTTTGTTTAAATCCTTTGTTACAATAGGGACAAACATACTTTGCTTCATCTTCATGTGTATCCATGTGATCCATCAGATTCCTATAAGAAAATGGAATGTGAAGTTATATTAATTTTTGGAAAGTAAATTGCATTTTTGAATATACAAAAAATCTGGTTCATTACAGGACCTAAACAATACTGGGCACATGTATTCTAACAACTTAGACATTTAAGCAATAAGTTGTTGACACCATGCTGCCTCTAGGCCTCTAGATACATTTATGATTTTGAGTATACCATACTTTTTAGAGGAGTATTTATTCCCACATAGCTCACATATGAAGTTTTTGTGGCCCCTCAGGTGCTTTTTATATTCTTGTTCAGATGTAAACACCTCATTACAATCTTTGCATTGCCATTTAAGTCTCTTCTGGCCTTGAGTCTGATCATTTTCTGCTGCTGGAGTTTCACTGTTATTTGTAATGAAAATGCGCTTTAACGTCTTGCTGCCTTTAGATACTTCATAACATTTATATAACTTCTGAGGTACATCCTCATTTAAAGCGACTTCAGTTTCTGTGGGTTTATCATGAATCAAATAGACTGTTTCAACATAATCTCCTTTGGTCGTTTCGTTTTTAATTATTTCAGATACATTTCTTTCAATGTGATGTGCTGGCTCTGGTTCATCTTGGGGAATATAATCATCACAGAATTCTCCATTTTCACTGCAAGACTCCACCTTTTCTGACTGTACCAAATGTTTATTTTGTGCTTCATTTTCTAAAAACGTTTTCTTTAAATTGTAGAAATCAACAATGGTATCGGTGCAATTTTTGCAAAGATGCGGCGACAGACCATCGTTTGGTTCTCCCTGAAAATTATTCTTTGAAATTTTAAAAATTTCCGCCAATAAAGTTGCTGTAAAGATGCACATACCTGGAACTTCATCAAATCCACCAAAATATCTTTCAAGCTCACATTGTCGGTGATTTCCTCGTATAAATTACACATAATCAGGCTATCGCTTGAACAAGCGCGACATTTTAATGAAATATCCATTTTTCATGAATGTTTAATTACTATTATCACAATAGCAAAATAGTCGTAGACCTAAACACAGCCATTCTACTCCACTCCTGGGTCATAGTGATGGGCAATTCGGTTCTTTTCGTAGATCCTCCTGAATCAGTTGATGGAATCTGACATGAATATTCCGAATTCTTCTTCCATTGAAGACAGAAACGTAAAAAGAAACGGCTGATCATGTTGAATATCCATTTCCCTCAGACAAACACCAGACGGCACGAAGGGCACGAAAATTACACAGAGTAAGATTGGAATCCAACCGGGGGCCTGATTCCACACCCGATTCTAACTGAATTTCGAATGTCAACCCTTCAATTCATATTGACGTTGCCTTGCCGTCATACATACAGACTGTCCCAGATTCGCTTCTCTAAACCGGGATGTCGGCTCCCTACACATGCAACAAAGGTTAAATGGGGAAAGTTTTAGATGCAATTTTGTGCTTTTGATAGCCGGATTCAGATTCACGATCGGTCAATTGGTTTTAAAAATACCAGCAAAAAACCGAAAATATCGGAATTTGTTTTTTGCTTTTGCCTTTGCTGTAGGTATAACAGGAGCCGAGACCCTGTATAAAGAAGCGAATCTGGGACACACTGTATAATCCGCCATGATCATTTTGACATTTGATTTTAACTGATTCTTACATCGAATCATCAGAGCAGTGTCGAAATTATGAATGCGGATTAATGTATAAGGACAGGACGACTTTGAAATTAATTTCAAATGTTGAAAGATGGTTAGAATTAGGCATCCGATCTTAGTGAAGTCACCCAACTTTCATAGAGAACCGACTTTTAGCGTTGGCTGAACGTCGGACCTTATCTAGGTTGTAGGCGTTCAGTTACAGCTCCGTAAAGAGAACGATATCATTACCCATCTTTAGTGATTCATGGAATAAGCTTTCTCAAAAGAGTGTTCCGTGATAAAATCAATTATTGACTTATGTCATATGGAAATGTCATGCCAAATATTGTTTTTCAGAATGGAGTCATGGGTTGTGAGATGGTTGTTCAAGTTTTATTAATTTTTCCAAAAGTATTGACTTTCTGAAACTGTTTTGATGTAGTGTAAGCAACTTAATTTACCAGAGATTCTTCGTTAAGCGATATCACCACCCATGTAATTCATAGGTATGTGTGTTATTAAGTTTCAATTTCCATGGCTGTCTGAAAATTTGCATATGCATTTATTTAATTGTTTTTGTTGATTTATTAATTAGTTACCTCACCAAATAAAGGCATTATTATTATATTTGGTTTTATTCCATGCTTCCATGTAATTTGAGCATGCGAAGGCATGATTTTGTTTTAAGTATATGAAAAAAAATATTTAATTTTTCCGATTTTGCAGAGTATTGTTTCGGTTTGTTGGTTTGTGTTGTTCATTTATGTTTTGCATGGTATTTGCACTCAAGGTAAGTACCTAGAGGTAATAATAATTATTTTGTAAATAATGGACTAGCTAATGTTTGTTTTGAGTGTTTATTAGGTATTGTTTGGCATGGTAGCTTTATATCTGAGATAAGGTAAGTAAAATTGAATAAATATGAAGGCATTTTTCTTGGAAAGTAACTAAAGTGGTGATATTTAAACTATAATATCACTCGTTGTTTTTTGTACAAAAATGAATCCAGGAAAGTCGTCTACATTCATCACGAACGACCCGAAAACCTGCCCGCCTTTCCAAGGTGACTGATGACCTTTGAATCTCATAACCTAGCCGTGCGGCTCTTGAAACCGTATTCTTCGGCCCCCTTCAGATGTTCCGCAGTTAATAATTGAAGAATGGGGAGACTAACACGAACATCGCGATTCCTGAATCCAAGCTTTTCTGATCTAAATTGCTCCCAGGATCGTTGACGAACCCCCCTATCTAACTACATGAAGCCTACATTTGGGGCCCCCTAGCATATCCGATTGGTGATTGTAATTTGGTATCGATAATTAACCACCTGGGCCTCTATTAATCCCAACAAGCTTTAGGGTCAACTTTTAAAATAGACAATACGACTAAACGTGACTCTTGTGACTCTTTTCTTTTCCCACAAGTATAGGCTTGATATTGCTATTTCACATCGGATTGGTTAGTCGGGATCTTGGTGGATTCTAGTCATTGACATCAGAATCTGTGCAGCCAACTCCCTCAACATTCATCTATGCTGGGGTTTTATAAAATCTCATTGAAAATGTCAAAATATTAATTACAGAGCCTCAAAAACATTTTTGCAACATAAGCTATGAATCTTTCAAAACTACTTTTGCCGTGTAGATATGCCGGATTTTCGCCATTTTGCAAACGATTGTTATTGAAAGCATATACTTTTACTGATCCATTAGAGTAACTACCCTAAGACTAAAGTGGTAAACGTGGCAAGATAATGGATGGAGTTGAATGCCAAGACATCAAGAGGCTACAGTGTATATTTTTATTCTGTATCCATGTCAAAAATGCCAAGTTTTTCATGGACCTCTATAGTATTTTACATCATTTTGTTAGGTGAATGAATCCCTTTTGAATGCAGTAGTCATCAATACTTCATCCAATCACACCTTTTAACACTAATTATAATCAATCTAATATTCCGGTTAAGCGTTAAACCTCCAGTGTGAACGCAGACTGAGGAAGGGCTAGTTCAAGATCATGTTATAATTTAGATAAGCTGATGACCACCACTTTGCTACTATAGAAAGAAAATGTCTGACTGTTCTGCTATTTTGGAGATCGAAATATTCTTAGATATTTGTGATATACAGGTTGATGACGATGCCGCAGCCATCCTACCATGGGCGATGACGTAATCCACCGGATGTGCTGGCGAACCGTTCTCCTGATGCTCGCCACAACCTTGGTCGGATTCAAAAGCGATGGTGCTTCCCTCTGTCCCGCAGGCTGCCGTTGCGAGAATGATGTGCTGAAGACGTCTTGTGCTTCAGCATCTTTGCAGGTATGTCGAAAGTGTTTGTAAAATCTCAAGGTAGTCATATCGTAAATATCCAAACGTCCAAAAATTTTCAATATCGGTTAGACGGTATATGGACATTTGTAATAATACTATTTTGAGGATCTACATACTATTGCATCATTTTCCATAAAGCATGTACCAATGAAAACGCGATATTTACAATGAGACATTTTGTAATAAATAATAAGCAAAGGTTTTTCCAATCAAGATGAGTTGTGTGACATATCAAGGAAGTGCTTAGATTTAAAAGGACCATGTACGATGATTTAATGGAACATAACATGGATCTATAAACCAGCTTCGCTAGTGGCACGAATCCAACATGCCTCATGTTTAATGATAGTGCCACATCGATTCGTGCCCTTATTATTTGGGTGTTAACAATAAATTATGCCAGGATCGCTTTGAATTACCAGTAGCCAATCGCAGTGGAACTTGAAATCCCGTGAGCCAATTGGGTGGAAGGGTTTTGAAATGGTTTCTAACATAACCTGAATAAGGCTTACATAACTGTACTTGTGGTCAGATTGCAGCTTCTTATGTGAGACTGTGATTTTAGCAAAGTTTAATTGCATATTAGTCTTTCACTAACTGTCAGTAGTCTGCTTTGAGATTGAGACACTGCCTCAGAAGTGGCAGCCACTTAGCTGTAATATACGCCATATAATATTCTACAAGCCTGCAACCCACAAGGCATGCTAGCAAAATGGGGGTTGCAGCAATTTAGGCAAATATCAGTCGTTGCGCAATTTCTCAATAGGTCGCGCAAACAGCCTGTGGGCTATCTGAGCAGATTAGTACCTAAAGCGAATTATGCTTATGTAGCTGTTATACATATATGTATTGTGCGGAGGTAGATGAGAAAATCTGTACTACAAAAATTTTGTTAGTACGACATAGTCTCGTTCTTATTAGAAAACTCTTTAGAACAAGTATTGCTATACATTAAATAAATATGTAAGCAGTCAACTATTTTTTTAATTTAGCTTTTGCGAAGATCCTTTTAGCTAGTTTCAATCAATTATCGCTACATGTTATCATTTGACTGAAAAACTAACATTAAGATAAGCTAATAATTGCTTAAAAATACTTTTACTCATTACTAGGTGGTCCCTATTCAACTCAACCCTGAGCTACGCGTTTTGGACCTCTCCAGTAACAAGATCCTACACATTCACTTTTCTTTCGAATTTTACGAAAACCTAGTGTCGCTGAACCTGTCGGACAACAGAATAAAAACGTTAGGAAATTCTAATTTCAACTCTCAAAAGAATCTGACTTACCTAGACGTCAGCAACAATCAGATAGAGAATATCACCAAAGACTCGCTTAAAGGACTCAAAGTCCTGACACATCTTGACGTCAGCAATAATACCCTCCAAGACATAAATTCGATGGCGTTCAGAGACTTGCACTCTCTGGCAGTTCTCAAACTTAATTCGAATAAGTTGGTTCACTTAGAGGAACAAATGTTCAAAAATAACAGAGAATTGAGAAAGCTCTATCTCAGTGATAACCAGTTTCTAAGAATACCGACAGCTGCTTTAACTGATGCTTTACATTTACATTTTTTAACAATGTCGCGAAATTTGCTGCTTTCTATAGAAGCAAACGAGATGCCTAACTTACCTGAACTTCACACACTTCACATGGACAGTAATATCATCTCAGAAATTCATCCAGATGGGTTGTCAGGACTTCCAGTTCTGGGATATTTGGATATTTGCGATAACAACTTGACTTCATTACCTACTGAATCTCTGGCAAAGCTATCGAGTCTGAACATGTTGAAACTGAGTGGGAATTTTTATCGAATCCATACCACCAGTAGCTTTTAAGGGTCTGTTCCACCTCAAAACGTTAAAAATCGATAGATTAGAATTATTGGAAGAAATTGACGTTAGAGCGTTCGTCGATAATATAAACCTAGAGAAGGTAAACATGGACTTCAATGTGAAAGTAAGAACATTACCTACAAGGTTGTTCCACAGCAACTCAAAGCTGAGGTATATTTCGGTAAGGTACAATAGCTTAGAGAATTTAGATGCTACACATTTTCCTTTGGACCAACTTTCCGAGTTGAAAATCGGAGGAAATCCTCTACAATGCAATTGCTCTTTAGGATGGTTGTGGCAGATTATCAAGGAAAGTAAATCAAAAACGTTGAATCAAACTGACAATTTGATACTCGACGAAAACGATATCATCTGTAGCGGGCCTGAAGAACTAAGAGGAGCTATGCTATCCACAGCTTCAAGCACTCAAATGAGTTGCTCTGTAGGTTGGATAGCTACGATATCTGTCATAGTGACAGTTATATTTGTTCTAATAGTGATAGGAGGTGTTTTGTATTGGGCGCCAAAACACAAACCAAGAAGAACCAAATCGGATTTATCTGTCGAACAGAACCCTGTTCCACAATGTAGCTCAAGTAAGAGGTCTCCGTTTGAGCCTGTACAAGTGGAGAAATACATTATACCCCCTCCTATGGTACACGATTATAGGTCGTTACATTCTTGGGATCCTTACGAGGAAAGCAGTATAAATATATATGAACCTTTAAATGACCACTGTGACAGGCCGCATATTGTTTATGTTTAATTTGTTCGTGCTGTAGAGTTGGAGCATGCGCTGTGGAGTTGTCTAATTTACGAAATACGTATTTGATGAATATACGAAGATATGGGAATTATCTTGCTCACTACAAAGGGCGCTGTAAAATAGTTTCTTTTTCAGATTAATTACGTTTGAAATAACAAAGTTAATTAACGGTTAAGCAGAAACTAAAAAAAATATGAAGAAAAGTACTCGCCGGCAAGAAAGTTTTAAGCGCCACGCGGTCATAGGTTGTACGTACGTTACGGAAGTTACAAAGTCTTTTTCACGAGTATCCATTACGTCAAAAGTGACAGCAAACAACAGCTGATTATACAGTAACATTTCAAAATACCTCATATCGACAAGTGACACCATTCTGATGAATTTATATTAACGTTAGATCTGTAAACAGAGTCGTATCTTGACGTGGCCTCTTGTGTTCTATGGATTCGTACTCCAATTGTACCAATCAGTATCAGCAGTTATAATTTTTTCAAGATTCAACAAAATATTCAACAAAGTATTACACTGGTTAGAGGACCCCTCAGTGTTTGTTCCGATTATTATGATTACAGGGATTGGGTACAACTTTTAATCCGTTATTAATATGTATATATTTTGTATAAAGTATTTATAATCTGTGACAGTTTTATGTGTATATGTAGCTCAAGTTTTGTATTAAGGCAAAATATGAAGACTGATCTGTTCTATCGTCTAATGAATTTTATTTATTGCTGAACTCATTTTGCCTTTATAACAGTTGGAAGTAAATTAGGTGAAAAAACACGAAATATGAAAAATTATTTGAACAATAGCTATTCATGGTATATATCAAAAGCGCAAAGTACCACTTTGCCGCTTGTAAAGTTCGTTTGGCCAGTTCCTTGCCAAGATTGTTATTTAGTTGGTTTTTGGGTAGTTAGGCCGTCGTAACATAAGCATTTCGCATGCCACCTTTTCCAAGAGCAGCACGGTAATAATTAATTTGGGAACGGGGCAATTATTTAATACTTGAACTTGAAGCAGTTTATTTACCTTTCCCTCATGAAACTCCAGAGAGAGAGAGAACCAAATTATAAGAGTTTAGTAACATAAAATTGTTTCTTATTGATAACTAGACTAAACTCATGGCTCCGCTTGCGTGGAAGTAGTGTAAAGTTTCGATGTTTTGTATCCTCGACAAGAAGCTTACTTGAAAATTTATCTGACCTGAAAGGTGTTTGCCAAGAATATACTTGAAGTAAAATTTGCCTGCAATTTGCACTTTAGGAATTAAAAATTGTTGATTCTCGTTTGATCTTCAAATGTCTTTGATGGTCACAGTGAAGATCGTGATCGTACTTGAGTTTCTTGCTCTTTTTATTTCCAGTGTCAAAAATGGGGGGTTTTAATTTAAGAAAACTGTCTTGACCGTCAAAGGAGCTGAAAGGCCATAGTCAAGGTCACATTCAAGGTGCACCATTAAATCAATCTTTTCAAACCTTACAACTTTATTATACAACATTTTTCTTTATGAAACGTATTTTCGATATATTTTGTCCTTTCTCTACTTTCCGGACACCCTCAAATACCCATTAGGGTCATGGGTAGATCCATACTTTAGCGTAAAATTTCCTGCTCTTTACATGCCCGGGGTCAAAAATAGGGCGTTTCAATTAAGAAAACTGGCTTAACCTTAAAATGACCTTGAAGGTCTTAGTCAAGATTACGTTCAATATTACCATTAGATGAATCTTTTCATACCTTACAACTTTGTCCTACAATATTTTGCTCAATGAATCGTATGTTTCGAGATATTTCGAGCTATCCATACTTTTGAATACCCTGATTATTTTCGCGCCTACATCATACTACACCTGCCAAGCCTATATCATACTGAGCAGTGTACCAAATAGCACGAAACAGCTGCCTATGGTTCGAGGTCTGTGACCGGACGGATGAAATATTTCTGGTTTGTTCAATGAAGAGTAGACCATATCTACTGTAGCACCAAAATCGGCGGCCTCTAGCGGCCACAGTGGTGACCCGGCTGATAATGCGAACTGGGATACAGCTTGCTGTTTTTCATTTTGGTAATAGATGGCATTTGGTGCTGTCTTGATTTTATAAAAAGTACTCTGAAACAACTTGAAATAGGTGCGGGAGCAGCTGAAAGCATCTATTCTTGAAGAGCACGTGACCAGATTGCCACGAAGTATCGCAAAGGTATTGAATGTGAAAAGCGGATTTTTGACGTAAGAGATGTGCAGCTTTTTTTTTATTTTTGACATTGATTAACATAATGCATCTGGAATACGTTATTCAATGTTTTTGATTATCACCATCATATGTCCGAAAACCTTTAAGCAGTGGTGTATAATATTTTTTAATCAAATTTAGAAATCCTAAATCTAGCAAGGTAGTTTTCCCGACCGCATCCACAGTTGCGAGCGTTTTTGATACTTGTGGCAACACAATTTTCACTTCTATCTATAAAAGACCTATACGAATTTCCAACTGTTATACCTTTGAATAGGCAATACCCGAAAATGTGTCAAATAGCTTTAAAATGCCATGTAAAAGATTACAAAATGCACAGTCTTCCAACGGTGTCCCTGAATCAGGTCCATTTGAATGAAATGCCAAAATTAAGTGATCAAATAGTTGTAAACTTTATGGATTGAGCTTCTTTTATTTTTTCTTCCCATCTTGCGAATAAGCTTCATATACGCGATCTTTGTAAATTAAATTTAAATTTTAGGTATTTCAGGTTTTTATATGAGCAATGAATGGTGTGGTATGAGGAAGGTTGTATTAGCAAAGATATTACTATATATGTATATACATTTTGAATAGTTCATTGTATACTATGGTGAGAAATTTGGTTTCACTTGCTTTAGAAAAACAAGATCCATTATTTTGACAGTGAAATCATTAATGATTTTTGTGCAATATATCTAACAGAACTATGCCAGAATATCTTTTTAAAAGTAGACTTTTGCATCAAAAGTTATAAAGAACCAAGCTCGAAGTGATAAGCGTCACAAGTATCACTAGTCATTTTTTCAAATGCTTGTGAGACCAATGCATTCATCTAATATTCATTATAATAATAATAAAAACATAAGCAATAAAATCTGTCCATAAGAGGCAATGCAAAGTTATAAATATCTATATAATATTCTAATTTTATCCATTTATAGTCTAAACTGTCTGTGTGCTAAATGAAAATACAGTTATAGGAACCGTATGTTATATAGCATATAATATATATTTAAATCCTTAACCGCCAATGTTTTTCGAACATATTTTGTGTTCATATTAACTTAGTTGAGTATTTGTATTTTTTATTGACAGGTTTGTTATACGTCATTGATTGGTTTTTCTTGTTATATGTAACGTTATTGAATTTTCAATAAAATAATTATTTAAAAAAGAGTATCAATAATCCGGATTTTTCACTCTATTTTTCGTTCTTGTTTTTACTTCACCTCTGCTCAACTCAAACTTAGTTGAGACTGCCTGATTTGCTATACAATTTTGACAAATAGCATTGACAGGAGAGTGTGTCAAATATTTTACTCAAGGAAGGACAACATAGTCTGATCTGAGACCTGCTTATTACCTGCCATAGTCGTTAATTCCAAGGTCTCCCTAAAACTAGAATTCTGTTATCCACTTTTGATGTAACAATATCGCACGAAACGTAAAAACTCAACCGCATCGAGCCATTAGTATTACGACCATTCAACTTTGTGTTACATTTGAGGAGATATTAAAACACACATGAAATAGCATTTGTGGCATTTCGCCAAGTGCAATGTACGTAGTCTAGACATGCCGACAATGGGGTCAAATCCCTTTGTTTCCATTTCTGTGTGCCAAGTTGTCATTTGTTATTTATTCGTTACTTCTGCCTCATGCATCCTGCATATCAGTGTTTTGCATATTTTTTATAGCAGGATAGTTATAATGTAAGCGAATGAAAAACATGCAGAGCCCCGTTTTGTTTAAAAAGTGGCGTCAAGGAGGTTGACTCGGCACTTCCCACGAAACGCCGTCATCAGTTCATAAAGGGTTATGTCCCTCTTAGAAAAAAGTTAGCTACGACCATATATAACAGAAACATTAAATGGATGAAGTCAGTCAAACAGACCCATAAAATTAGTCCATAGACATTCTTAGCCTGCCCTACCAGTAGAACCGTCCACATATCTGACCACACGACGCGCCAGTTGCAACAGCTCTGCGCCGCGCCAGTAATGATAGGTCACTTATCTAGGTTGGCACACCCGCAGGTTAGCCCAGAGAGCAGAATCAGAGACGAGTATCGACATTTCTCGATCATTCTGTTTTAATTGCAAATGTACGAAGAAATCTATGACGTGTGAAATGTCTGATAGGTGGATAGGACTACTGGTGTTGGAAGCCTATAAATATAATAACATCAAAAAATTGAGACATACCCAATAACCCTAAAACAAACTACAAACATATTTCAGAAAATGATCATGTACATCTGAAACGTCAAAAAACAGATAGAGCAATTTTTATTTTTTTTTCGTTTTTTGCAATCCGCTCTGCCATCACTGGCCCAGTTTTTAGAAACTACAAACATTGTGTCAAAAATGCATCAAAATCCGACCGGTACTTTCCAAGTTATAGAGGCGTCAAGAATTAGCGAACAGACAGACAGATAGTTGCGGATTTGCAGTCTTGGCCGCCCTAGCCCCGAGGCCATGTAGCCGCCCATTTCTCAGTATTCATTATATAAACTAAATAATTTGATCGATATTGATTCAGAAATTTAATTAAGTATGATAGCTGCTAATTTGTAATACCTTCCAAGGTTTCAAGAATAATTACACATTTAAATAAAACAGTTAAAACGGCTTTTGGGTTTATTTATTCAACTAGTTTAACTACAGGTTCATTCTCATACAATAAAAATAAGTGTTTTACAATGTTACAAAACTCGTCTAGACTTAGGCCCGTATCGTCAGTCGTCCCTACAATTGTAGGGCGCGTTTATGGCCTCCTTGATTGTCATACTCCTTTCTCTCCTTCAAAAATTTCTAGATTACACTTGTCCCGTGTCAGCGTCAGCGCTCTCCTATTGTGAAGATATGTTTTCTTTTTAAATTGTAGGAAATTTCAGGCTGATAAAACATGATATAACTCAAAAGCAAGCACAATTTGATGCAAATAGATGTTTGTGACATAACCTCAAAATAGAGTTCTGACACGGAGAAGTAGAAAACTATGACAATCAAGGAGGCCATAAAGGCGCCCTACAATTGTAGGGACGACTGACGATACGGGCCTTAGACGCCGGAAAATCATTAAGTCTTCACAGTTCAACTTTCTTAAAAAATCTGCTTTTGTGTTAAGCAAGGTCGTTCAACCGTTGCTCCGTCATTGTGGCGCGTAAATAATTTTTAACTTGATGAACAACAATCAATCGTTTTCGGTAAGAGTTACTGGCGGGAGTACACACACACACACATTATGAAGAGCAATATCCACGTTTGGGTAAATGGTTTGAAGACTTTCGGTTCGTAACCATTTCAAAAAACTGATAGCACTTTTTCGATCCTCTTTTTTTACACTGCGGTGAGCATGAAAATGGAGACATTCTTCTGAAAAGTTGTCTTCCAAGTCAGTAGAATAAACCATTTGCTTTTTCTTCGACTAGTTTCGTCAAGTTAGTAATAAAATTAAATGTATTGTAAAGTAGTTTATAAGCATCAAGTCGTTTTTGAGCTCTTCTGACAATGTATCAATTATTACCAAAAAAGTGGTGATTCTGAAATCTTCGCGACCGTCTTTTTGTTGCATCTCTTCAACTGTATTAGTGTCGCTAGGAAGTAGCTTACGCTTGCGATTGAGTCCAACAACTCTTTCATATTCCTGTACAAATGTTTTTTGGCTTTGTTCTCGAAATCATCGAAGTTATCCCGTATTTCGCCAATAAAATGTATCAGTACCTCATACAGTACGACAGATGCAAAAACTCGAAATAGGTTCACATGCCATGAACAAACCTGTAAGCGAATTTAAACGATTTTATTTAACTTGCCCTGTATGCTTCAAATCAGTTTTTTCAAATTTTACCTCGTTACTGTTGACTGATTGATGTGATATTTGGGACATGTTTACTTCTTATGACAATACAATTATGTATATTCAGAGTGATTACAGATCCAAGATGACCGCCGTAAAATGGCGGACCACATATTTTTGGCTATATGGGTTATCGAAAGAGGTTGACTAGGCGAATTAGGAAAATGCATTACATTATGAAAAAATGTAAAATCCAATATGGCCGCCGTTTCAAAATGGCGCATTAGGTATTATCATCCCCCGCAGCTTTCATTCGTTGTCCTACCTGAGACCAAGCCTAGACCATGCTGATGAGTTGACAAAAAGTGCGAAACAGCTGTCCATGGTTGCCGCCTGTGGTCGGGCGGAAGCTATATTGCTGGTTTTTCGACCTCAATATGGGATTCAAATGGAAGGGTTTGACTCCCAATATTCCATAAAAAATCAATTCCATGATGGCCGTCACAACCAAAAAATAGAGTTTAACGTATTTTCTTAATCCCCCAAATATGAGTATCAAATGGTACAGTACATTTTTGAAAACAATATCTAATTTCAACTTTAACGGGTTTATTGTGAAGAAATATTATACAGCACTTTCATCAATTTAAAGACTTTTTCAGTTTTAAAACCCGAAGGTTGTCATTTTAGTCATGTTTTGATACCTACTCATGATCCTGCACATTACAAGCGTTATCGTGGAAACCTACAATAAACATGCACCTTTTAAAACTGTAAGAGTTAATAAGCCACCATCACCTTGGTTAACTAATGAACTGCGCACTGATCTTGATGAAAAGAATACTGCACAAGCTTTATATAAAACTAATAAGACCGTGGACGCCTATAATAACTTCAAGTCGCTTAGAAACCGTGCTCTTAACATGATCAGGAGGGACAAAAAGACATACATATATCGAAAATTTGGCAAATGAAAATGATTCAAAAAAATTGTCTAAGTCTCTCAAACAACTTGATATAAATTTTCGTAGTAAACCAACCCTTCCGACAAGTTTGAATGACCCTACCAAAATTAATGAGTATTTTATGTCTGTTTATAGCTACAAACCTGTTGATTCACTAGTTTGCGAAAACTATTTCAAAAATAAATTAAGCTCTGAATATATTTTTTCATTGAATAAGATTAGTTCAAATGACGTATTACAGGCAATAGGGAGCCTAAAATCTGATGCGAAGGGAATTGATGGTATATCCCTGTCAATCCAGCTTTGCCTGCCAGTTATTCTCCATCACATCGTCCACATCTTTAACGACTGTTTGGAAAAAGGCTACTTTCCAAACACATGGAAACAAGCTCTAATTATTCCAATTCCTAAAAAAATGAAACCCACTGAGTATAATGATCTCAGACCTATCAGTTTATTACCAATTTTAGAAAAAATTATTAAGTTCCAATTGACCGCTTACCTAGAAAAATTCTTTATACTTCCCGACACTCAATCCGGATTGAGAAAAAATTATAGTACAACATCTGCCCTACTTAATCTGCAAGACAATATTTTAAGTGCCTTAGATAAGAAAATGGCACTAGCCTGAACCTCTATAGACTATTCGAAAGCCTTTGACAGCATCAATCATAAATTATTACTTGCTAAATTAAATTACATAGGTCTTGACAGCGTATCCCTTTCATTTTTCGACAGTTACCTTCATCAAAGAACTCAGTGTGTTTTTCTCAATCAAGAAATGTCTCAAGTGACAATAATTCCCTCAGGCGTATCTCAGGGCTCTGTATTGGGGCCGCTTCTGTTCCTCATATATACGTTCGACTTAAGCAAAAGTATTATTATTCACATGTCCAGTCATTTGCAGACGATACGCAATTGCTTCATTATTTTAACCCAGATAATGTCAATAATACTACTCAAATTTTACAAAACGATGTTAATGAATTAATTAAATACTCTTTAGATCACAATCTACTTATTAATCCACAAAAATCTAACATGTTATTATTTTGCGCACAAATAAAAACATACAATGTAACACAGCTCTTGAACATTCAGATAAATAACCAAATCTTGCAATTTTCTGATTCTGCAAAAATTCTTGGTGTTGTTTTTGATACAAAATTAAGGTTTATTGAACATGTTAAAAGTCTATCTCAGAAAACCTACCTACGGCTGCGCACTCTTATAGCAAACAGGTATTTACTAAATTTTAAGTTGCGTAAAAAACAATGTGAAGCATTGGTCATATCTATACTAAACTATTGTAATATCGTATACTATACTTGTTTAGACAATTTCACTAAAAA